GAGCAGGGAGCCCGACGCGGGGCTCGATCCCAGGACCCTGGGACCATGACCTGAGCCAAAGGCAGACGCTTAACGACTGAGCCACCCAGGCGCCCCTCCCAGTGGCCTTTGTATACGTGTTGAAGTGAAGAGAACTTCATGGTCTTCCGTGTTAAAAGTGACAGTCTGGGATTCAGACCTTGGAAACTTTCATCACAGATGCAGACGGCGCCACTGGTGCAGGATCCATGCCCACTGCAGAGCTTGGGGCAAGCCTCTCCGATGTACACATGGTCAATTGCCCAGCTTTGCTTCTCTGTTTCTTCCCCCTTCTGGATCCAGCGGAACTGTGTCGCACTGAAAGTCCAGAGAGAGCAGAAGGGATTCAGTAGGCTGTTACTTCCCGTGGCTGTGTCCTGCCTCCAGCCCTGGGAATGGGAACTATTTCTGAGAAAAGGACTTCCCCAGGCTTCTCCTTGAAGCACCCAAGTCAAGGTGAATGAACTTGTACCCCTCAGACTCTGGGGATATCTGCCAAAGTGCCAATCTGGAAGCTTGTACCTTCCCTGAGAGTTTGATGTGAATTTCCCATTCTATTCCATAATAAATGTGTGTCCACTTTTCTTATCAAGGTATATCATTTTCCAAATCTTTGAGTAAAGTGAATGTTGCTCTAGGAAGATTGCACTCTATTATGTTTATCCTGTGGCTTCATGTAACCCGACCAGACCTGCACACCCCAGAGGGTATCTGTATATGGGATGAGCAGTGCAGCCTTTGGGAATCACAGAACACTGGGGCAGATACGGTGCCAACTCCAGGTCTTTGAGCGTCTGTGATTTGGGGCCTGTGACTGAGCTTGGCATGTGCTGTGGTATTTCATCCAAAGCAGGTTTGAGCTCTGTAGCATTTACAGAAAAGATCCTATGTCTTCCTATTTCTTCTTGGGACATGCCATTGCCATTTGGGGACATGGATGGAGAGGGTACTACAGCTGTAATGGAATCTCACTGCATGAGCTCTGTAGAGATTGCCAGATAATCCGACCAAGTTTACCTTAGTATGCAATTTACCTGGAGGAGACATGGTCAGGCAGCTGAATGGTGATCCTCTTCCAGCTCGAGCTGTTGACAGCATTGTAGATGGTGGCTTCATGGAACTGGAAGGGAGAGCAGCCGATGCTGTTTGAAGAGGAAGGAAGGCACTGGGTCTGAACGAGCTGCCAGGAATCAGACCTGCAGAAATCACAGAGGTTATGGTAGACAACTCTTAAGAGAAATAGATGACCTGACTAATGACAATGTACCACTGTGGGGTTGGGTTACATTGAGGTATTTTTACGTGAGTTTTCCATTTCCTGTATATATTTATACAGACAATTAAAATAAAAATTTAAAATAATTTCACACAAGATATATCTAACTCTTTACAAGCACAAGAATATATTCACAGATAATAGAATAAAATAATAGCATGCATGCTGCTGTATTCTAGTGGTTTCCTCCCACTGAAATTATTACCAGAAATATACCTGGAGTTGATTGACAAAACTCTCTGTTTACCCAACTTAACTCCCCATAATTCATTTTCAAAAGTGGTGGTGGGAGACAGGGCTCCGAAGAAAGTAGGGACATGTGACTCTGGCTGAAGCATATTTAGATCTTTTATTGATTTAAATTCTTATTAAGGTTGGTTGAAAATGAGCAACATGAATAAAAGAGAATTCTACTTTGAGCACAAACGTAGTATCTTACTTATTTTAGAAGAAAAAAAGTTTGTTGGCTTGCAGCCAGCCTAGTATGAAAAATGATTTTTCTTGGTTTGAGGGAAAAATCTGAAAATAAGACATATGTGTAAATTTTATATAAATGAAATCAATACAATTTGTGAAATAAGCATAAACTGTACTTTTAGTATAAAAGGTTGCTCTTCTGTAGTTGCTTTAAAAACAGACAACCATTTGAAGTTGTATTCAAGTTTGGAGGAACGTAAATTATTTCACAAACCTTGCATCCTTAGTGTACTCCAACATTACGGAATGAAGGTCACCACAAGAAGTGGCTTCACAACCCACCACAATCTAAAACAAACATAAAAAACAAATATGTATAGGGAAGATTAAATACCTATCATTAATTAGAAATCCCCTCTCTAAATTATGACTCTAATAAGTAATCAACAAATGTTCAGAGAAGTTTTTACAGAGCAGCCTGCCAGAACACCAACGCTACATTTTTTTTGAATTCTGATACTATATGCTGGCTAACTGAACATAATAAAAGAAAAATCAGGAAGGGAATAAAAAAATACGCAACTTTGTATGAAGATGAGAATTAAGGTTTAAAAAAGTACTATTTCTAATCAAGAGCTGGTTGTTTGAAAAGATAAACAAAATTGATAAACCTTTAGTTAGACTCATCAAGAAAAAGAGAGAGGACTACAATAAATAAAATCAGAAATAAAAAAGGAGAAATAACAACTGACATCACAGAAATACAAGGACTGTAAGAGAATACTATGAAAAATTATATGCTGACAAATTGGACAACCTGGAAGAAATGGATAAATTCCTAGGAACATACAATCTTCCAAAAATGAATCAGGAAGAAAGAGAAAACTTGCACAGATAGATTATGAGTAACAAAACTGAATCAGTAATCAAAAAACTCCCAACAAACAAAAGTCCCCTAAGATGGCTTCACAGATGAATTCTACTAAACACTTAAAGAAGAGTTAACACCTATTCTTCTCAAACTATTCTAAAAAATAAAAGAGGAAGGAAAATTTCCAAATTTATTCTACAAGGCCAGCATTAACTTGGTACCCACTACACTACAGAAAAAGAAAACTACAAGCCAATATTCTTTTTTTAAAAAAAGATTTATTTATTTATTTGAGAGAGAGAGAGAAAGAGCATGAGCATGCACATGAGTCAGGGAAGGGACAGAGGGAAAGAATCCTCAAGCCAACTTCCCGCTAAGTGCAGAGACCGATGTGGGGCTCAATCCTACAACCCTTGAGATCATGACATGAGCCGAAACCAAGAATCAGAAACTTAACCGACTGAGCCACCCAGCACCCCAACCAATATTCTTTTCTTTAAAAGGTTTTATTTTTAAGTAATCTCTATAGCCAATACTCACAACCCTGAGATCGAAAGTTGCATGTTCCACCGACTGAGCCAGCAAGGATGAACAGAGATGCAGAAATCCTCAACCAAATATTAACGAACTGAATTCCACAATACACTAAAAGAATCATTCATCATAATCAAGTGGGATTTATTCCAGAAATACAAGGATGGTTCAATATTTGCAAATCAAGGTGATACATAGCGTTAACAAGAGAAAGGATAAAAACTATATGATCATCTCAATAGATGCAGAAAAAGCATTGGACACAATTCAACATCCATTCATGATTAAAAACTCTCAACAAAGTGGGTTTAGAGGGAACATACTTCAACATAACAAGGGCCATATATGAAAAACCCACAGCTAACATCATACTCAGTGGTGGAAAACCCAAGAGCTTTTTGTCTAAGACCAGGAAGAAGACAAGCATTTCCTTTCTCACCACTTTTATTCATCATAGTATTGGAAGTTCTAGCTGCAGCAATCAGACAAGAAAAAGAAATAAAAGGCATCCAAATTGGAAAGGAAAAGTAAAACTGTCACCATTTGTAGCTGACATGATACTATATATAGAAAACCCTAAAGACTCCACCGAAAAACGTTAGAACTGATAAATGAATTCAATAGAGTTGAAGGATACAATATTAATATAAAGAAATATGCTGTATTTATATATGCTAATAACAAAGCAGCATAAAGAGAAATGAAGAAAACAATCTCATTTACAATTACACCAAAAACCCCCCCCTAGGAATAAATTTAATCAAGGAAGTGAAAAACCTACACTCTGAAAACTATAAGACATTGATGAAAGAAATTGAAGACAATGTAAACGAAAAAATATACCATGCTCATGGATTAGAAGAATTAATATTGTTAAAATGTTCATATTACCCAAATCAATCTACAGATTCAATGCAATCCCTATCAAAATACTAATAGCATTTGTCACAGAACTAGAACAAATAATCCTAAAATTCGTATGGAACTACAAGACACCCCAAATAGCAAAAGCACTCTTGAGAAAAAAGCATAAAGCTGGAAGTATCACAATTCTAGATTTCAAGATATACTATCAAAACAGTATGATATTGGCACAAAAATAGACACACAGATCAATGGAACAGGAGAGACAGCCCAGAAATAAACCTCCACTTATATGGTCAATTAATCTATGACAAAGGAGGCAAGAACACACATTAGGAAAATCACATTCTCTTAAACAAATGGTGTTGTGAAAAGCGGAGAGCAACATCGAAAGAATGAAACTGGACCACTTTCTTAACTGTATACAAAAATTCATTCAAAATGGATTTAAGACCTAAATGTGAGACCAAACTCCTAAAAGAAAACATAGGTAGTAATCTCTTGGACATCAGCCTTAACAACATATTTATGGATATGTTTCCTCAGGTGAGGGAAAAAGCAAAAATAAATTATTCAGACTACACCAAAATAAAAAGGTTTTACACAATGAAGGAAACCATCAACAAAACAAAAAGGCAGCCTACTGAATGGAAGAAGATATTTGCAAATGATATATCTGATAAGGGGTTAATACCCAAGATGTATAAAGAACTTACGCAACTCAAAACAAACAAAAATCTGATTAAAAAATGGGCAGAGGACCCGAATATGTTTCCAAAGAGGACATACAGATGGCTAACAGACACAAGAAAAGATGCTCAACCTCACTAATCATCAGGGAAATGCAGATCAAACCACAGTGAGATATCAAGATATCACCTCACACAAATCAGAATGGCTAGTATCAAAAAGATAAGAAATAATAAGTGTTGGTGAGGATGTGGATGAAAGGGAACCTCTGGGCACAGCTGGTGGGAATCTATATTGGGTACAGCCACTATGGCAAATAGTATGGAGGTTCCTCAACAAATTAAGGATAGAAATACCAAATGATCCAGTAATTCCACTGCTAAGTATGTACCAAAGAAAGTGAACACACTAATTCAAAAAGATATATGCACCCCTATGTTCATTGAAGCATTATTTACAATAGCCAAGATATGGAAGCTATCCAAGTGTCCGTGAATAGATGAATGGACAAAGATATGGGGTACATATATACAAATGGAATATTACTCAGCCATAAAAAAGAGTAAGATCTTGCCATTTCTGACAACATGGATGGATCTAGAGGGTATTATGCTAAGTGAAATAATTAGAGAGAGACAAATACCATATGATTTCACTAATTTGTGTAATCTAAAAAACAAAACAAATAGAAATAGACTTATAAATACAGAGAACAAACTGGTGATTGCTAGAGGGGAGGTGGGCAGGAGGAATGGATCAAATAGATGAAAATATTGTAATAACATTGTAAAGTGACAGGTAGTGACTACTCTTATCGTCGTGGTGAGTACTGAGTAATGTACAGACTGTCGAATCTCTATACTGTACACCTAAAACTAATATAACATTTTATGTCAATTATACTTCAATAATAAAAACAAAAAAAGCTAAAAGAGCAAGCTCTTAACCTTTCAGAAAAGTTTTTTCTCAAAGACATAAAAGTTTTTGTACAGAAATAACCAGGCCCAATTTTTTTTCCAGGGACACTGGACATTAGACTCAAAAGGCAACAGTAGCTGGTTAGATGTGAAAAGTGAAGAATGAAAAATCAAAGACTACTTCAACTTTTAAAGCTGATGAGTAAGTCACAGGGAGTGTCATCAATAGAAACAGGAGAATTAGGAAGAGGAGCTGGTAGGGAAAGGGAAGAGATGAAGTTCACTGTTTGCCATTGCGAGTTGAGATGCCAGGATGATGAAGGTATAGAAATGTACACAGAATGTAAAAGTACTGAATTAATTGTTGGTGAACCAGTCAAGGCTGGAAAGGCAGATCTGGGAGCTGGTCTTAAAGAAGCCAAAGGATGAATGGAATTCTCAATGGGGAGAATATCTAAGAGAGAAGAGAACGGAGAAGTACTGCAAAATGCTGACATCTAGAGGGTTGGAGGAAGAAGAAGAGCCAAAAAGGAGGCAAAAGTAGATTACAAGGAGGTAAGAGGAAAACTGGCAGAGAATCCAGAGCCAAGGGACAAGAACATGATGGCACCAGCCGGGGAGGGCAAAGACAACAGTGCCCAGGGGTACAGATCGGAAAGGAAAGGTAAGAAACGGGTGAAGTTTAGGAAGTCTATGGTGACTTAGAAAAATGCAGTGTTGGTGATACTTTAAGTATTACATTTTTGGGGATGAACTTTTTTCTTTTTTTAAACAAATGGATTCGGTTAGAGAAGAAGACGTCCATCTCTTCAGTTCTGGGTTAACAGAGGCAGCAAGACAGGAGGCTCCTATCAACTTAATCAAATATGATGGCTTTGATAGGGGCCCAGTGTGGGCCTGCGAGAGGAAAAATCTTCACTCTTACAGGAGGTGGCTTGGAATTAGGGGTGGTGTAACACTGAATATGACCTTAAGCATCCTTCATGCCACTAAATTAAGGATAGTCCTAGGGAGTGGTAACATTTGGGGAGATTTCCTCACCCTTTAGTCTCTGAAGGAAAGTTTAACATAAAGCGGAGAAAAACAGTGAATACCCCTACCCCCACCTTTTTTGCAAAAGATCTGAACTTTTAAATCTTGCAAAAATGAAGCTCTATACCCATTAAATAACAGCTCCCCATTTCTCTCTCCTACCAGCTGTGAATACATTTTTATTCCTGCTAGAAAGGATTCTTACTATTAACCATCATTGTAGGACATCTTTTTAAAACATTTAACAAATGTTTTAAGTAAACAACCAATGTTTGTCTTTAAAGTAATCTAGTAACAAAGTGTATTTCTGTAATACCCCTTTTTAAAAAATATGTTTTATAATGAAAAAAACATCAATTGATATTGCTTTATCTTTCTCTCGGATTATCTATTAATGATCTCTCTGACTTCCCTTTTACCCTCCTCTATGAATAAAATATGCATGTAAAAAATTTGAGAGTCCTTTTTAAATCTGAGGATTTGGAGGAGTTCCAACCAGGCTACTGTACACGTTTGTGTTTAGAAGTCAGAGACCAAAAAAAAAAAAAGAAAGACATGATAGAAAAGGATAGAAAGTGGCTTAATATATGAAATCAGTGTAGAGTAAGAGGTACAGAAACTGTGTGTGTGTGTGTGTGAGAGAGAGAGAGAGAGAGAGAAAGAAAAATAGGCAGAGTAGGCAGAGGTACCCATGTGAGCTTTTCATTTCCAGGGTTTGGGAAACTGAACTCAAGATTACATATATGAAATACAATATAGTTACATTTCTTGCTATGTCCCAACATACTAATTGATTTTATCTGTGCTCAAATAATCCTATCTGATAAAGGGCTTTGCTAAAGATTACTTCTTTTCTTCATAAGATAAAGTCTCTTTTAATGAATGAAATCAATCATTTCCTTAGAGTTGTTCAAATAAGCATTCTCCCCATCCTCCATCCCCAATGTAATGTAATGCCATATTCTGTTTGGAGCCACTTCCCCTTACTTTAAACTGCATCATATATCCTGGCTGTATAATGAGTTCTCTGGAGGAGAGAGCATTATGAGTCTTGTCCTTCTTTTTATTCGGCCAGTAGAGGTGGAAGGATGGATTGCCACAGAATCCTGCTGTCCTTACTGCATTAGGGTAAAAACTCCAGTTTTCTTCATGGGAAGTACCTTCTGTTAAGGTAAATTGGAAGCAATATGGCATGTTACTCTCTTGTTGGTTTATTGTTTAATCACTTAAATGTCTATGCTCTGCCTTTTTGCTTAGCCTTTAAGAATGATTTTTATGTAATTGGTATAATATATAAATCCAAGGTGATTAATCAAATTTAGAAAATATTATTAAATGTTCACATAATGATTACCCAAGTTAAAAACTGTCACTGCTCATCTGGTTGACTTGCACTATTACAAAATTTTTGACACACTTTTAAAACAATGCAATGTGCATCTCTGTGGTGCAGAAATTCCTAAAGAAACTAAAATTATTTTGGATATTGAAATTTCAAATTATATTTAGAGCTAGACATTTTGTCTTTAACAGAATTTATTAAATTCTCAGTTGACATTTCAACAAACAGTTAATATTGAAGATTTACAGACCACTGGGTGAAAGAATAGCTAATATTTGTTGAGCAGCGAGTATGTGCTAGGTACTCTTCTGAATGCTTTTCATGTGGTAACTCATCTAAAGAATAGGCAGACAAAAGGCTCACAAAATTCTTACCATCATCAAAAGTGTCGACAAGTTGACTAGGATTGATTTCTGCTCCTCCAATCAGTATGTTGTCTAGTGCCCACTGTGCACGCTCCACTCCAGAGACCACGAGTCCATTGCTGATCACAAAAGGCTGCCACCAGCGAAGTCGAGTTGTGTTGGTGAGGGCGTCTTCGGGGAGGAGGATGTAGTCATGTCGAACAGAGATGTATTTCTGGTAATCCATCTCATGGAGCAAAGTCCAAGTAATTCCTATCATAACAAATACACCAACATAGTAACATATCTGGAAAAAACTCCACAAACCAACAGTAGACTGCAGCTACCATAAGCTTCCCAAAAAAAGCATCAACGAGGAAATGAGAGTTGGTTTCATTGACTTTACTATAAGTGTTCACCACTGTTTCAAAAACCAGGCTGATGGTATGAGGGGAAGGGTAGTTAGAAATATTGGACCAATAAAGAAGATGTGGTATATATACACAATGGAATATTATGCAGCCATCAAAAGGAATGAGATCTTGCCATTTGCAATGACATGGATGGAACTGGAGGGTGTTATGCTGAGCAAAATAAGTCAATCAGAGAAAGACATGTATCATATGACCTCACTGATAATGAGGAATTCTTAATCTCAGGAAACAAACTGAGGGTTGCTGGAGTGGGAGGTGGGGTGGGAGGGATGGGGTGGCTGGGTGATAGACACTGGGGAGGGTATGTGCTCTGGTAAGCGCTGTGAATTGTGTAGGACTGTTGAATCACAGACCTGTACCTCTGAAACAAATAATGCAATATATGTTAAGAAAAAAAAAAGAAGAAGATAGCAGGTGGGGAAGAATGAAGGGGGGGAAATCGGAGGGGGAGACGAACCATGAGAGACTATGGACTCTGAAAAACAAACTGAGGGTTCTAGAGGGGAGGAGGGTGGGAGGATGGGTAAGCCTGGTCATGGGTATTAAAGAGGGCACGTTCTGCATGGAGCACTGTGTGTTATGCGCAAACAATGAATCATGAAACACTACATCAAAAACTAATGATGTAATGTATGGTGATTAACATAACAATAAAAAATATTTTAAAAAATTAGAAATATTGGGCCAAAAATAAAAACACGAAGTAAAAATTATATATTTTCTGTCCTTAAAATTTTGTTCTAGATTACTATGTGCATTATTTTTCATAAATAATGAGTTACATCCATGTTTTGCATGTTTCTGGACAGGAGCTCCTAGTAATTTAACATTTTAATGTAGCTATTTTAATTCTAGGCAATTTTTATTTTGTTGGACTGATAAGAAGTTTCCCTCTTATCAGTTGATAAAAGTGTAGGTGGGATGTTTAAATTACTTAAGGAAACACTTTTGAATACCCTAAAATACTTTAAGTTCATCTATTTCTCTGCTAGTTATTCAAATGATACCTATCTGCTAAAACTGATCTTCTAAGGACTTTACGGTATTTTTGGTCTGGTTTCAGCTACTTCAAAATAATACAATCAAATTTTATTAAAATATTTTTTGAAAGACTCATGAATTCAGATTATCTTCTTTCACAATAAAATTTTCTTATAGACTTATTGTTATTTATTGTTCACACAAAAGCTTTTAAAATGTTTTTTAAAATGATCTTAACTTGGAAACCATATAAAATTTATTTCTTAATTATGTCATTGATAATCAAGCTTCAGTTACACAGATTTTTTTCTTTATTCATAAAGCTTGGAGCTTATTTTTTGGTGTGATTTCTCTCTTATCCCCTCGTGGGTAGATTCTGTGGAACACACAGGTCTCATGTATGGAAGCGTAACGTGACTAAGATCTGCAGCTTTCTCTTTGTGATTTTCGCTATTCTCACTGCAAAGGCAGCGAAGCTTTGCAGAAATTTTACGGAGGGGCACTGGATGTAAACTGGGAATCTGCTCCAAGGTGTGGCTTTCACCCCTGAAACGTGCCTCCATCGGTAGAGTAGTCCAACAGCACGCCTTCCTTCCGGCAGATGGGCCGATGGCAGGAGGTCATGTTGTTCTCACTACCGATGCGCCCCCAGTATTGCAGGAATCTGAATGCAAACACATATTATTATCCATCAGAATAGTGAATTAGAACAAATAGTCTACTCAAGTCCTGGATAACAACTTCTCCCGTAAATGTGTTCCTTACTTTGGGGCCAACTTGCAATGCTGTGATAAAAATAACCAAAACCGACTTACTTGGCCCCTCTGAGATCCAGATCTTGAGTAATAGCTTGTCTCACAGTGGATCCCCCAAAATAGAGCGCGGTGTCCTCGGCAAGAATCCCACACTCGGTACAGGTACTTCCACCTTCTAAAGACATCCATAAATCAGGCTTGATTTCTTCACTGTCAAAGCGTTCCTTCAGGAAAGTCTGGAAACAAGTAAGTGGGATGTGGTTAAAAGTAACAATTTCAGATAATAACTATGGAATAGTTTAGACAACACAGTTTCATCTTGGACTTGAAAAAATAGGGTTGATTTCAAATGCTTTTCCAAAGATATTAAAAAAAAAAAAAGCCAAGATATCTCTACAAATGTTCTTTTTCATCATATATTATGATCATGTAAAGTGATTAAATAATGTTCAGTCATTGGAATTTTAAGTCTAGAAAGAATCATAAAATAAAACAATTGCAAGTTGGCTATAGTAACACTCCTTTTTGTGAAGTTACTTAAGCATATATTCTCCAAATATTTATTTATATTGTATATAAAAGTACAATTGTAATTTATCATATAATGAAACATGCATAAAAAATGAAAATTTAAAGGCATAAGATAAAATAAAACAGATGTTCTAGCACTTTTTTCCCTAACATTTTTCAATGGGTTGTTTTGTTTTCCCCCAGGAGTGTGTGCCCCCCCCCCCACTTTGGCGACCGCTTTAAGCAACCAGGACCCTTTAGCTTCTAGGACAGTGTGAACTTAGAATGTCCATATGGTTAGTCAGGGACATTTGAAACCAAAGCTTTTTGTATGAAGTCAAAAGAAAATCAACCTTGGAAGTCAGATTTTACATGTTTATCAGGGTCAAGATTCAGGATGATGATGAGAAATACTCAAAATCTAGAATATTTTCCCCAGGTCTCCAGTTTATCCTAAGAATGACCAACAATCAGGAATAGTCTATTTTCCAAAGAGAGTAGACAAATAAAATATTAGGGTCTGTTATGGTTACATTTTATGCAAAATTATTTCATCCCCTCACATCGTTGTAAACATCCTGATTTTTCTATTCATTTTGTCCATGGTACATTCTTTTTGTCCATAGTAGTTTTGCACTGTGTTGAGGCATGATTCTTTTTTTTGTTTCTTAAATGATAGAAATGATGTATCATGAAAACAATTTGTTACAGTTGCAATTGCAGTAACTGTATACAGAAAAACTACTTTTTCATTTCTTTAGATGAGTTGTGTAGTTGGTATCTTACTGTGTAGTTAAAATGATTTAAAAGGACTCTCTTCAAACTCAGAACATAATCATCTTTATAGTTAAGGACATGTAGTCACATGGCAGTCTTTCCTTATCTTACTGATATGAGCAAATAAATGTAATTTTTTTTTTTAAGTAGGCTCCACGCCCAGCATGGAGCTCAACGCAGGGCTTGAACTCACAACCCTGAGATCAAGACCTGAACTGAGATCAAGAGTTGGATGCTTAACCGACTGACACACCTAGGCACCCCAACAAATAAATGCAATTTTAAAAAGGGAGGTTTACACATAAGAACACAAGAGTCAGAAGACATGCACTGTTAACCATGTAAACTCTCATTAGAAAGGTCTGATCGGAGTTCATAATATAGACTTGTATAATTTCTTATCCAACTGAGGAATATTAACAAAATTTGAATGCTCATGAAACTAGATTTTTTTTTTAGTTAATTCATTATCTATGGCTAGGTTTCTCATGTTATAATCTCATTTGATAACAAATAGACAACAGCTTCAGACACAAGTGAGTATTGCTCCAATGTTATTTTTTTAACTTATTAATTCCAAAGCTGTTGGTGTCTTATAGGAAAAAAAAATGACAGGACAGGTTTGGTTTACATTGTTTGCCACTTACATATTTGATTTCAGCCACTTGTGCTTTTTTGGCTTAGTCGTTTTTCTGCTACTGCAGTGACGCATGCACTGAATTTGTTCGCAGAAACAGAATGCATATATGGCAACTGTGTTGGGCAACTGTATTTACTTTGCACATTAAATAATGATGTAACAGCTAAAGTTTCCAAGAATGACCTCTCTTTTCTTTTTTTTTTTTAAAGATTTTATTTATTTGAGAGAGAGAATGAGACAGAGCATGAGAGAGAGGGGAGGGTCAGAGGGAGAAGCAAACTCCCCGCTGAGCGGGGAGCCCGATGCGGCACTCGATCCCGGGACTCCAGGATCATGACCTGAGCCGAAGGCAGCCGCTTAACCAACTGAGCCACCCAGGCACCCCTGACCTCTGTATTCTTAATACCAGCCACGTTTCAGCACTGCTCATCAGAACACTGAATTTTCTGAACAAAAATTCAGGTCATGATAATATTGTAATAATGTTGGTTGGTGACATAATGGGGACTACACTTATCATGGTGAGCACTGAGTAATGCATGGAATTGTCCAATCACTGTGTTGCATACCTGAAGTTAAAATAACATTGTATGTCAATTATAATTCAATTAAAAAAATGCAGGTACTGTTTAGTCATTTTTGAAAATTTGTTTCTTTGTGATAATGAATCTAGGTTATTTGCTTCATAACATTAGCATCTTCTTTCAAACAGTACATCTACTGAAAACGTGAAGAAGAATTAATATTGATTTCAAATTAAGAGTCTGCTTTAAAAAAAAAGCAGAGTATTTATGTTCTTTAATTGATACACTCTGGTTTATTTTATAAACTGATAAATTGTACCAGCCTTGATCCTAATATTTTTTTATCTAAGAAACCTAAGACATATTCTTTAGTTGCCATCCAAAGATTTATTTACTGGGGCCCCCAGAGAATGCTGTTATAAAGTATTAGCCTCACACAATGTTTCTTCAGGCATGACCTGCAGTGTGGATAAATGCTTCTTTTGATGGCTTTAACATTACCTTCAGAGTGTGAGTCAAGTAGCAATTGGGCCCAGAGTATCCTGGATCACAGATGCACTGTTCCTTTAAACAATCTCCATGGCCTCTACAGTTGTCCAAGCATCCAGGGCCCAGGTAGAAATTATCGATTGCCCACTGCGTATCTGAGTACTTCTGATAGAACCTCAATCTTACTGGACTATTGACAACACAAAAGCAAAGGAGTGAGAACCAAAGTTAACTTTATTCAGGTCCATTTTCCTATGTGTACACATTCAGTACTCAAGAGAAAAAAAAAAAAAACCATTTAAGACACTCTGGCAGGATGAAATGCATTAATAAAAAATGTTTTCTGACCACCATTATCTATTTCTAGTAATGGTCCTTTAAAGCCAGTTTCATTTAAATTTTATGATCTGTGAGCAAACTTGTAAGACAAAATGAAAATACAGTGGAATCTCTATTTCAAGCAATAGGAACATTTTAAAATACAAATCTGTAACTATCAGAAATGAAGTTATTTATGAGCTGGAGTCCAATGGTTGTGCTGCCATTTAGACCCATTAAATGCCATTTCTGAAATTGTACAGAAGGTGAGCACATCCTCTGACAGAGACTTGTCAGCATGCACACAGCCCTCAGGTGATTGGGAAACAGCAACTTCTGAATCCCCAAAGATGATCAATATTCTCAGAACAACTCTGCTAATTAGAAAACAATTTTGAAAGGGTTTTTTAAAGGGCAATTTCCCTGAGATTTTGATTTCATCATTGTTGTGTCTTCTGGGGGAAAATACAAGCCTCATAATTAACCCTATATCAAAACATGCTGTACAGTTTTGGTGTAAAGAGTTCAAAGTACATGAGGAAACTTTCTGGGGTGATGTAAATGTTCTGTATCTTAGTTTATGGGGTGGTTACATGGGTTGCACGGTTAAGATGTGTGGATCTTACTGAACATAAGTTACACCTCATTATAAAAAAAAAGAGAGAGAATGGGAGGGGAAAAATGAAGCAGTGACATCGTGGTGGCTCCCTAGCATCCACTTCACCCCTGGTGAGTCATATGGATAATATAACTCCCCTAGCCACTGACTGGAGTCAGGGATGGGCTTTCTTGAGCTACTTTGTACCAATGGGATGCGAGGAGGTAGTTGCTCTGAAAGAAAAGCAACTCTCTTTCTTTCCCACTGGACATAGGTAAGGATGCATTCTGCTTCAGTTTTCTGCAAGTGTCTATGTTCATGGGGACTGAGTGTGACACCAAAGTGTGGACAGTGTGGCAAGAGTCAGGGTCAAAGAGAAAGAAGTAACAATGTCCTTGAGGACATTTTTGAGCTTGTGAATCAACCCACGCTCGAGTCCACTTGTCTTTGGAGTTTTTCATTATAGCTATAATACATTTCATTTTTAATTGAGTCCATTTGAATTGGGTTTTCTATTACCTGCAGTGGAAAGTATCCTGATCTAATTTCCTAGCACATTAATTGATAAAGCCCTTTAGATTTGTTCCAGGAAACAGTGAGTGATCATGTAGTAAATGATTTTTATGGCACACTGGAAAAGCCCAGTGCAAGCGCCTTATTTAAAGGCTCTATATGTTTCGGTCATATATCATAATTCTGTTTCATAAGAAGGTTTTGCATTTAGCCAGGCTCTACAATTCATATGGTGGAGGTATGCCTGTCATTTTCTCTAGTGTATCTTTTTTCCTAATTTTACAGTTAAAGGCAAATCTTTTGGAATTGCTTTAAATTAACTCAACCACAGACTTCTCAGGGAACAGTTTAATCATCTTGGCTCATCACTGCTCCCAGCTAATGACTTTTCACTGCAGGTGCAGAACTTAATGCTTTGGTCAGAGAAAAAATGAAATCTACAAAGCACACTTGTACAGACAGCACGAAGAATTAGGATTTGTACAAATAGCATGACTGGTTAGGATTTGTTCCTGGCTCCATCTATGGAGTGATAAGGCAGTAGTAATATGGAAAGCGTGTGATGCACGGTGGACCACAGTCTACCAGATCCATGAGGAAACATACACCTTTTCATGTGGCTCTAAGACTATCACTATTGGTCTGTCCCCATGTTCAGAGATTAAAACCTGGGAAATGGAAGGGCCTGCCAAGGCCCAAGTCTGAGGATTAAAACTTGAGGTCTCCTCAAGGTAGCTCATCATGGAGGTCACCAATTAGAGAACCTTTAGAGTTAGGGGTAAGAGAGCATTTTACCCACAATTACACAGAATTTCAGGCTCAACAGGTGTCCCTAAAGAACTTCTGGATGCTTGGAACCCAGGCTTTAATTTTTTACTTACTTCCCCACTAAGCTTTCAGGGAGTGGGTAGGTGATCCTTTTCCACCCTTTGGTTGGAAAGAATACAGATGGCTGAGAAACACTTCCAGAACATTTGGGGTCTGCAGGTAAGCACTGAGGGACCAGATAATTCCAGCTCACACCAAAGTCGGTAGAGTACTGCACATGAATTTGATTCTGGGCAACTTTTTCAGATACTTTACATCCAACAGAGATCTAGTACACAGAAAAGAAAGATTGTTAAAGGATTAAAACCATATTACATGTTTCTGCTCTAAGGACTTGGCAACAAGAAAGTTGCCGATCACTTGATAGACGCTGTACCACATCCATCCTGTATTTTCAGGTTCATTATCTGTTCTGCTGATAGATGGGAGAGTTGATGTGGTTGCCCAAGGTGACAAATTATAGAAAGTGCCAAATATATTGTGCAGGGACTTTGGAGAGAAGCTGAAAGCTGTGCTTCTGCCATGGCTGGCTGATTGCCTTGGAAGGCCTGGGCCCACTCTTACAAATTGTTGTTTGTTGTGCTAATGGTCTGGCACTTTTATTTGGCAGAATGCTCGACCAAGAAGGATTGCTAACAGCTTTTCCAAGTTTACTATTTTGTTGTACAATTTATGACTCTCCATAAATCACTTTCAACTACAAGTAAGATGCAATGAAGTGATAACAGAAGGTACTTTTAATAAGGCACAATACCCTTGTTGATGCAGATAGGCATCCTGCAACATTTGTTGTTAATACACTGGGAGCGAGGTAGACAATAAATTGGTTGACATAAAATAAATTGGTTGACATAAAATCTTGGCCAAAACTGATGCTGGCATTAATGCTAATCATGCCTTTGTTTTCTAGAATTTTCTTTCTCTAGAAACATTAAAATGCTCTTGTAAAAAAAAAACAAAACGTAGTTATAACCATAATAGCTTTAAGCTTCTCTTAAAGGAAGAAACTGGCTAAGTCATATAATGATTTAGACTCTGGGAACTGAAATAAGTACCCTACATTTTTATTGTCACTATTTTGATCTGTCAGTATTTAATATTGAGTAGAAACACATTTATGAAAGTTTTACCTTGGCATAGTTCAGAAGTAAAATCATCCTAATCACTTTTAATCATTAAGTTATATATAGTTGAGATGAACATTACCGAAACATTACATTTTATTTTTCAAAGTATAGATTAAGTCAATGAAACGTATTTTGTCTCTACAAATTCTTTTTTCATTTTTATATTGCTAGTGGATGGTTACTTGTGTAACCATATTTTTACCTTGAACTGCATGATCCAGCCTTCCGTAGGAGTCAGGTCATGGGTCACTGCGTACACTTCTCTTCCATCATGGCTGCCGCAAATCATGACGCCATCGGGGGAGTCACAGAATCTTTCTACCGTGCAATCATCATGGAATAGCCAATGCTCATTCACTTAAATGAACAAAAATTTTATGACAAATTTATAGCAAAATTACTTGAAGCAACTTTTCACTTTAAGCAAGATCTCATATTATTTTCAGTAGAAATCTCTCTTACATTACACACAATCCACAGGCAAAACACTAACATAAGCATATCATTTTAGGAACATGGATACTAGGAGGTTGAGATATACCTACTATCCAATATTGGTAACTCTACATTTAGGAAAAAAAAGTGTATTGTATATGTTATAAATGAAAAGCAAAGGGACTTGTATATCAATGCTTTTTATTTTATTTTTTTTAGTAATCTCTACACCCAATGTGGGGCTCGAGCTTATGACCCCAAGATCAAGAGTCACATGTTCTTCCAACTGAGCCAGCCAGGTGCCCCTATACCAATTCTTTTCTTTTTAAAAAAAAAAAAAAAGATTTTATTTATTTATTTGACAGAGAGAGACACAGCGAGAGAGGGAACACAAGCAGGGAGAGTGGGAGAGGGAGAAGCAGGCTTCCCGCTGAGCAGGGAGCCCGACGCGGGGCTCGATCCCAGGACCCCGGGATCATGACCTGAGCCGAAGACAGACGCTTAACGACTGAGCCACCCAGGCGCCCCTATACCAATTCTTCTCTTATAGACATTTAACTTTTTGGGAGGATTTAAAGGACAAAGAATTTTTAGTAATATGATAGGGAAGTGAGTTAGCTATTTCTACTGAAATTCTGGTAGTGTCATCTGGGTAATTAAATTACAATAGTCAAACTCGTAGATCCAGAGAGTAGAATAGCAGTTACCTGGGGCTGGGGAGAGGGAGAAATGTCAGTCAAAGGGTATGTATGAAGTTTCAGGAATACAGGGCAGTAAGTTCCGGAAATCTACTGTACGACAGAGGGCCTACAGTTACCAATACTGTATTGTATACTTAAAAATTTGCTAAGAAGCTTAAAAAAATGTTGGGGGGGGCCTGTGTGAGGAAACCTTAGGAGGTGATTAATCAATTTATGACCTTGATTGTGGTGATGGTTTCATGGGTGTATACTTATCTCCAAACTCATCAAGTTGTATACATTAAAATCAACAGCTTTTTGTATGTCAATTATAACTCAACTAAGTGACTAAAAACAGGCTTGTAAGAGTTGAAGGAAAACGTGGGCAGCAAGACTATGACCTGATTAGCACAGAGTACATCCTATCGTCTCTCCTCCTGTTTCTCAATCACACACATGTGCATCTACGCACACACACACGTCGCCCACAATGTCCTTTCTTTTCTGAAACAGGTATTTTTAACATTATGATTTTATTCCAGAAAGTTTAGGAATGGAACATATCCATAAGTTGCATCAAATTCACAATATACTCTGGTTTTATAGGTCTCTGTCTCTGAAAGTTTCCTGGTTAGCTCTAGCATTTACGATGGCGACGAACGGGTATGATGGGAGGCTTGGGGCCACTGTGCGAGTCACAGAGCTGTATGGTGTCAGAAGGGTCAGAGGAGAGACCAAACAATGTAATTGGAACTCAGCCTTCACCTGTGTTGTGTCCTTCGGAGTTCGTCTGAGCATTAACCTACGTCACAGAACAAGCAGTTTATGTCTGGGTTCAAATGGTTAACACAATCCCATTGCCATTACCTGTTAATTCTCATTCCAAATCCCATCCCGATTCATGGGATTTGGAGCTACATTTAATCCTGCATCTAGTACTCAAAAGTCAAAGTGCATAGAAACTTGAATTCCATTAAGAATATCCCACACCAGTTTATTCTGGGGCACATATTTTATTTTATGCTAGAACTCTGAATCCTGAAGAAAGCACGTTTACATTAATCAACTACCTCATCAATCTCTTCTGAAATATCAGAAACTACTTCTGTAAGTAGATATTACAGTGTCTAGAAAACCAGTGGTGCAATTCTTCAATTGTACATAACCAATCAAGCCTAAAGTGAAAACGGGTATTTTAGGTACTTGAAAAAATAATCGAGCCTGACGCGGGGCTCGATCCCAGGACCCTGGGATCATGACCCAAGCCCAAGGCAGATGCTTAACAACTGAGCCACCCAGGTACCCCTAATCTGTATTTGCTTTTATTCATACAGAAGCAGTACTTCAATTATTCTCTGACCAGAAACTCACTTACGTAAATTGTTACACGGGGAAAAAATAAATTAATAATTTAGCCAAGATCTGAACCAGATCTGTGTGAGTCAATCTCCTTAATAACCTTCATCAGAGAGCGATTTTCAGATAACTCTTTCAGATAACACTTGCAGTGTTGGTAGGAGCTGTATAATTAAACATCACTACTTTGCCTGAGGATTCCATGTTTTATGTAGTATAACCAAGGATGTGGCATGAAAAAGCCACAAACCTGACATAAGACACCACTTTAAAAAAGGTGACCAGAAGAGTTTCAGTGAAATAAAACAAAAACAAGACATTAAAAATGAGCATAGCATGGAGAGATCTTTTCTGGTTCACCAGAATCACTGCTCTACTTCTAGAGAGAATGAAGAGTAACCAGCAAGACCTTTAGACACTCTCGAAAACATGAAATGCCATCCTAAAGGCATCTGACGTGTAGCAAAACAAGACACTTGTCTTCAGATATGCAAACAAATGTCCAGGAAATGTTGGCTTTCTACCCAAAGGAGAAAATACAGGAAACAGAAATGAAGAGTTTCTAAAAAAGATGGTATTATTACAAAATGCTATTTATTAAAACATTCTTGCTGCTTGAATGAAAGAAAAGATGTAGTCACAACATAAACCAGGAAGTTTGAGAGAAACAAAAGGGTGAAAGCATTTTCACGGTCTCTATACCATTTGAGAATCTGTAAGAGGCTCCACATTCTACTTCTTTGAGAAGACCTAAATCTACACTACATTTCTGCTGGATTTTTATTTAGCATTAGGGAAAAATGTACCTGCAGTTTTATCCTCCATAAACATGTCGAAGGCAATTCTCCCAACAGGGCCGGCGTCTGCAGGGGAGCGCTCATGCTGGGGCACAGGGGCGCTGCTGAAAGTGTCCAGCATGACGGTCCTCTGGTCGGCAGAGCCCGAGATGAGGACGTTGTCGATGGCCCAATCATTCTGATCCAGGCCATCATGTCTTGGCTGCCACCAGCGGAAGCGAGTAGCAATCTCTTTAGCATCAGGAGGGAGAAGGATATTCACAAATCTGTGAGAAAATGATGGGGGTGTGTGTGTGGGGAAATCGTGTCAAACGTCTCATGTGAGTAAAAGATTTACAACAAGAGATAAGATGTTACAAGTCACGTGGTGGGTGGGGGGAGGACATGAGATAACATTTAAAAAATTTTAAATTTATTTAAAAAATTAATTAATTTTATTTTAATTTTTAAAATATAAAAATTTTAATTTTTAAAAACCATGACAAACTGATTTGAGTTTATGAAGGTTCAGGAGTCCCTAAATTGGGAAACAGAATGTGAACAAATTCAAGAACTGTGGAACCACCTACTTATTCTAACTGTCCCTGGCAGGTCTTAAAGGGACTTTGCAATTTTCTGCTTGCCCAGGGGCATCTCTGGATTTGTAGGCCCAGGGATATGCACTTTGGTAGACATAAGCCAAGACTAAATTTTTTTTTTTCTGTCTCCTACGGGTTGGTTTCATCTCTTCCTTCCCCTGGCACCTCGATTTCATTCTACTTCCATGAGTATCAGCAATTTGCTTAGAATTTAGACACTGGATTGTGGTAGGACATTTGGGCTCTCAGCTTGAGGGTACCAGGTTTTTTGTAATTACTTTATCAGTTGCTTGTAGTTTGACATTGACTTTGTCTTTATGTTTTATTGAAAACATTATACTAAGAAATGCTGAGTAAGAACCATGGGCTAAGAAGCCCAGCATGCTGTCCCCAACCCAGTCACTAAGAATAGACATGGACAAATCTGACTCCATGCTCCAATATGAATCATAACCAGTTAGACATGAGGTCTAAAATACCCCTTGATCGCAATTATGCATTTAAAGCCCAAGAATGTATCAGACCCTTTTGAACTTGTATTCACAACCATGAAGTCGGCTGGGGGAAATAATTTCCTGTGGTTTAATCTCCTTTGCATAAATTCCCATCTTTTTATCCATGCTAATCTACCTTCCTTCACTTTTAAAGGCTGCCTCTTAGTGTTAGTGTGCCAAGACAGGGCCAGTAAGCCCAAATTCATCCTGTGAAGAACGCTTAAGTTGAGGACTTCGATGGTGGCTCCTTTAGTTTTTGTCTTTCACACTGAAGAGGGTTCGTTATTTCAGTTTTATTTACATAGTATCTCCTTGTTGATTTTATTTTTCCTTCCTCTTTTCTCTTTTATGTCATTCTTGAGGTAGATTCCAGAATAGTAGGCCATATTCCAGATGGGGACCAATCAAGATCCCTTCGAATTGAGGATGCTTTTGGTTAGATTTTCAGTACTTAAATTTAAATACTTTATGGACCATGTCCATATTTTGTGTACCCTAAGACCAAGATGCATTTTGTGTACCAAAGGGGACACAAGGCAAGTGCAGACTGTGAATCCTAGATCCTTACCTGTAGAGTTATTGGCACTCTGGAGACCAGCAATGCTTAGGCAAATAATCTTTTCCAAAGTTTATTTCCCCAGGCATTTCAATTTTGAAGTTCATCTGCACCTCTCCTTGCCCCCTTTTTGTCTCCCCTTCTAAGATCTTTCTACAACTTATCAGCATTGATTTGGCATGTTTAACATTTTAAAGTATATCAAATAATATCAGAAATGTATCTGCTCCCGGAAGGGCATACAATAGACTTCTTTACCCAAAGCAATGATCTTTATCTTTTTTTTCTTTCCTATTTCTAAATTAGTTTCCTTTCTCTGATAAATCCTTGACCACATTTTATAAACCTATGGAGTGGAAATTTATCTAACTAAGGCTGTTGAAAGTTTAAATAAATTATGACCACTGTTCCTACTTTGGTCAATTTGTTTCTCCCTGAGAGAACTAAAGCAGATCAGACAGTTATGTTTATATCCTTTATACAGAGACTTCCTTTTCTCTGTATATTATGCTAAATGTTCAGGAACTCATACCTGAGAGTCTTTATAACTTTCTCCATAAAGACTAAGGAAATGGTTTACTTGGCTTATCTATTATCTTCTACTAATAGATGAGCACATTTTTTGCACTATTACGCTGTGTTCTTCTTAGCTTCTCTGGATTCCTTTACTGGTGTCCAACTTTAATGCAAGTGCAGGATTTTAAATGTTTGCTTGTGGCTGGCATTTCCTCAACTGCCATCTTCCCCTTCTTCCTTCATAATAGGAGCCCATCTTTTTAGCGAGGTGAACAGTCACCCAGAATAAAGACAGTATGTCCAGACTCCCTTGCATCTGGGTGTGTTTCTGTGGCTAAGTTCTGGTTACTGGAATGTGAATGGAAATAGGGGCAACCATTAGGAAGTGTCCTTAAAGAGAGACAGCACGCCCCTCTTGCCTATCCTCCCTTTTGCCAGTGGGAATGTGGAGGAGCTAGAGTTGCCCTTTTGGACCACAAGATAGGTAGAAGGAAGCTGGGTCTCTGGTGCTTGTGGAGATGCTGTAGCAGCCCTGGGCTACTTTCTTCTGGATCTAATTTATATTAAGAGAGAAAGAAACCTTTTGTTTAAGTTACTTGGGGTTTTCTGTCATTCGCAGCTGAACCTCTTCTTAACAGATACATTGAATTTAAATGACCATTTACAAGATTCTTTCACTGTTTTTCTTTTACCTAATTTTTAGCCTGTACCTGGTCTGCCATGTACCGAGGGATTATCTATGTTTTGTCTTCCTTTCTGGGTGCTTTTAATTATTCTGTTTCTTGGTTGGGCTGTATTCATTCCTCCTTTCCCCTCTCCTCCCCTCCCCTCTGCTCTCTCTTCTCCTCCAACCTTCTTCTTTCTCTCTCTTACCCTCTTCTTCTCTCTTCTCCTTCCACTTTAAAAAATATGCTCTTTTACTTTTTAAGATCTTTTTTAACTTTTCTCATTGGTCACATTGATTGCTTTTTGCCCTTTGAGAATATATATATTTTAT